TCTGCAGTATTTTTTGCTTCTGTCTCTTTTCCTTCACCATTACCACTCCCAGAATTCAGGCCCATCATATCTTTCACATCTACACTGCATATATAGGAAGATTGGTTCAGTCAGTGAGTTAATAGCTGGTAGTATATGATCCAGCATTGCCTAGGAATTTTTTTCTAACTTGTTAACTTCAGCAAATTTTTAAAATGTGTGATATACATAATACACATACTGAAAATTTGCCCACCCCCAACCCTACAGTCCAATGAATCACAATGTGAACACCCATGCTATCCCACTCCGGTCAAGAAATAAAACACTGCTAGTACTCCAGAAGTCCCCCTGTACCCTAACTCAAAACTAGCCACTCCCTTTCTTTTCTTTACAGTTTTTACACTTAAACTTAAATCCCTAGTCTAGTTTGTTTTTGCCTGTTTTTTAAACTTTGAATTTCCCAAAGTGGCTATACCAATCAATACATTCCTAACAGCAATGTACAGTTTCAAATATTTCAACTCTTGACATTTTCTGTTTTCCATTTTTAGCTATTTTTGTGTGTCTGTGCAGCAGTATCTCATTGTAGTTTTCATTTGCACTTCCCTAGTGATTATAGCAGTTGAACACCTTATTGGCCATTTACATACTCTTTTTTATGAAGTGACCTGTTCAAGTCTCTTAGCCATTTTTCTATTAGGGTGTCTTTCTAAAATTGATTTGTGGGAGTCTATAAATCTAGATAGAAGTAAAGCAGACATATTCCTACTGTAGAAATAAACACATTTGCCAGATGCTGTCAGGATGACACTAACTCCCCTTATTCTGGGCCCAAATTCAATAATGAACCCTCTGGGAGGTAATATAATCAACTTCATTTATTCTTTTTAAAACAACATAGTCACTGTGCCAGGGAATTTGGTAGATACTGGGAATATAATGGCAAAAAAAGTGATTAGGAACAATAGCTTTGGAATGAGACCTGTACTGGAAACCTGTGTCTAACGTTTTGCAGTTTGGTGACTTCAGGCAAGTTATTTAATTTATTTTTGGTTCAGTTTCCTTGTTGGAAAAATGCTGCTAAGAAACCCTATTTTTTAAAAGTGTTGTGAGGATTAAATGAGACAATATATGTAACAGACTGGGCACACTTGGCTGACAAACAGGAACATTCAGTAAGTGGAGGCTATTATATATTTCCATGTAGCCTTACATTTCTAGAGGGAGAAACTGAGCAGATGTCCATTCCTCTCTTAGTCATTATAGTTCTCACTATAAAACTATGAAAAAAAAGGCATTTGGATTTAGATAAGGCTTCTGGGAACGTGGTTCTTCTAACTCCCTTTGTGACTCTACAACAGTGCTTTAAAAATTATCTGTAATAAAAGATCATGGAAACATTTACAAAATATAAATTACTAGAAAATGGAAGAAAAAAAGAAAAGACATGTGCAATACAAACCCAAAACTTTTATCAGATCCAGACATAAAATTAGTGTTAATTGCTATAAAAATATGTACTCTATAAATTCTTACTTTCAATTTCTGCAAATGCCTTGTCTTGGACAAGTACCAGAGTTTGCAGTCAGGCACTGGCCTATGGACTACACTTTTGGTGGCACTGTTTTAGAGCACAGATGAAAATCGGACCTCTGAATCAAGCTGCTGAGGTCAGAGCCTGTAATGTGGGGACTCAAATGAAAAACTGCTCTTGGTCCTGAGTCAGTAGCTGGTCACCTAGTGGCCTTTTTCTAGCCTTAAGCACAACATTGTGTTACTCCCTAGCTCAAAAATCATCCACTGTTCCCGTCTCTAGGGTAAAATCACAATCCTTTACCATGGCATCCAAAGCCTAGGCTGGTTCCACACAACTTTTTTTAGTCTGATTTTCCACTAGACTACACTGGGCAACATAGCAGCAACTAGTCACATTTGGCTATTGAACACTTGAAATGTGGCTAATTTAGGAACTGGAATTTCATCTTAACTTTAAACTAAGAATTTGATAGCGTAATGTAAAAACTGCAAAACTTTTAAGTGTTTGGAATGACTTGGGAATGTGAATCTATTTTTTCAACTATAAATTTTATGTAATCAAGTACTGACATATGCTCTAAGTATAAAATACATGCCAGGTTTCACACATTTAATGAAAAAAAAAAGTAAAATTTTAAAATGCTTATACTGACCACATACATATAAAATGATACTATTTTGGGTTAAATAATTTTAAAAATTAGTTTATTTTACTTTTTTAATGTGGCTACTATAAAATTACATTTAGTGGCTTGTATTATATTTATATTAGTACTGGCCTAGATAATCATGACATAAACCTAGGAATCACTCTTGATTCCTCCCTTTCCCTCACTCAGGATTCATTAATTAGCAATATAGGTCATGTCTAATTACAAAATATATCTTCAGTCCATCCAATCTATGTCTTTTGCTGCTTGCCATGTTACTCCATTCCTTAAAAACCTTCAATGGCTTCTAGAACACTTACACTTACCAAGGCTGCAGACTTCATCTTCTACCATTCCTTTTTTGCTTTCTAGACTTCAGACACATTGGCCTCCTTGCTAAACCTAACAAACTCTTTCTCACCTTAGGACTTTGCCCTGCCCGTAGCTTATTCCCATTCGGGTCTCAGTTCAAAGAATACCTTTCTCAGTGAGGACATCTCTGACCAACCTCCAAAATTTTGCCTGCTCTCTGCCAGAGAAATGCTTTATCCAAATACCCATTTTTTCTTCATGGAGTATTGTGGAATCTTTCCTCTTCTTTTGTTGAACTTCATGGTCTGTTCCCTCCACTAGGAACAGGAGCAGCAGTCATGATAGTCTTGTTGCTGATTAATCCTTTCAGTGTGTAGAACACAGCCAGTTAAAGATGGGTGTTCTGAAAACAAATGAGTATCTAATTGCCTGCTAGATATAGCTGCTTGGTTGGCTCACAGGCACTTCAAATTCTACACGGTGAAAACAGAATACTCTTCCTTCACTACCATGTATTCTTCCCTGGCTTCTAATCTCAATGAGGACATTACCATCCTAACTGCTCCTCCCAGGGAATTCTCTTTCATCTCTTCTCAGTCACCCCTTTATCCAGTCAACCAAATCACCAACCTCTCACTAACCACTTTGGTCATATTCTTCACACTATTTGCCACTATCAAAACTCTCTTAAAGATGACTGTCTCCAAACTGTGTTCCATGCCTCCAATTTTTGCATAATAGTCATGTCTAGAATGCAAATCTAATAATACTTCTACTTAAAAATTTTCAGTGGCTTCTTCTTAGCTTTCAAAAGCTACTTTCTGCACATGGCATTTAAGGCCTTCACGACTAGACCTCTTCAGAAACATTTCTAGACACTCCAGAAACAGCATTATCTTCTTCACCCAACAGTCTCTCCAAAGTTTGCTTCCTAACCTTTTTCCTTACTGCTTCCTCTGGAAGGCCTTTTCCCAATTCCCTTATTAAAGCTAAGTGCTTCTCCAGTCCCATTCCATTGCCCCCTCCCAGGTGAGTAAGGAATTCCTCCTGTATGAGATTTCATAGTAGTCAGCAGTTTACCCTCATTATATGGAAGTTGCTTATTTTCCTGTCTGCATTCTATAGCATATAATCAATGAGAGCAAGGATTCCACAGCAATCATTAGCTGATGCTTATTCAAATGAAGTGCTAAAGAAAACCATACGACATAAAAAAACTGACAAATTTTTATCAAGTGAAGCATCAGAAATAGTAAATAAAAGGAAAAGTTATGGTTCCTATGCCATTTACTATGCTTCTATTTTAGGAAGAATGCTTTAATAAGTTATATTAAGACTTTACAAATCTTTACTACATCAGTATCACAAAGGGTAAATGGAGAATGATTACTTATCTGGGGCCACACAAAATCAGCGGGCAATAAAGATTTCACTTAGGATTGGAAACTCTCCTGGATCAAACTCTTGGCGCTCAGATATTCCCAACTCCTAGACAGACATAGGATGCTAAAAGTTGTGCTGTTAGCAAGCTGGAAAAGCCACGTGGGAAAGTCAGTCCGAGGATTATCTGTTAAAAACTTACCAGTGTGTTGGGTTTCTTAGCAAACCAACACAAGAAAATTAAATTCAAATTCATATGACCTTTACTTTGCAAACATCTCCAAATAAACTTCTGCTCCTTTCTTAATAAAATACAACAAAAATCCTGACATGCCAGCCACGGACAACAGATGTCTACCTCTGACGTGACAGTAATCCAGCTACCAGGATTTCAGCTACCAGTTATTAGGGTCTACAAACTATGAGACCATTGAAATGTTTTTCAAAAAGAAGTCTAAGAATACGTACGTCTTCGTCATGAACCTGACTGCTTAGTTTATGCGAAGTGAAGGGCAGTCGTTGGTTCTTCCCCTTGTACCTTAACAGCAATTCCTGTCCCAGTCCGCCTTGTGGCAGCTAAGGCCACTTTAAGTTAAATCCTAGCCTTCCGACTGCCCTTCCGTCTCCCAGGACTCTACTAGGCAGCTCAGCTAAATCTCGAAGGAGTCCAATTCCCCGTCTCTCAGCGGCCATGTCGGAGAGAGAAGAACGTTACCGCACTTTCGGCTTCCCAACTCCTAGCCCCCGCAGAGAGGCGGGAAGGCTCGGCTGGCAGCCGGGCGGCTCCGTCGCGCACATGGCCGGCCGCAGCTCCCACACCCGTGCCGCGCAGGCGCCAGGCGAGCCGGGACTTGCGGTCGCCGAGAGTGGATCATTCCGCCGCTTTCTTTGTGTGGCTGAAGCTCTAGAAATGGCATATTTCCCGTTCCTCCGTTAAAAACAAAAACCCAGACCCGTTCGTCCCCATCCTCCCGCCGGAATGGAGCCGGGGGTGGGTGGGAGAGAGCTCTGCTAACAAGGCAGGGGCGGAAAACCAGGCGAGGGCTGGCGAGGGCCGGTCCGGGAGGGATGCTGGGAGCTTTGACTCACTCGCACACCATGTGTCCCTCCGCGCGCAACACGGGGGACTTTTCGGTGGGGATTTTGGGCGCCGACCAGACGCGGCATTTTCGGAAAATAGCGCCCGGTGCAGCTGAAGCGCTCTGTGTGTAGCGGGGCCGCGTCAGCCCGGCCGCGTACGAGGCGCTTCGGGTGGCCGCACCACCTCCTGCTGCTCCCCGTCGCCGCTCCCGAAGCTTTTCCAGGTCAGTGCGGGTCTGTGTAGGGCCCTGTTACCACCGGATGTGGAAGTTGATCTCTTCGCTGGTAAAAAATAATTCCACTTCCCCCGGAACCCAGATCATCCCCGCGATTTCCTGTTTATTGCATTAAGGCGCCGGGTTTCCGGGGCTCCTGGCCCCGCTTATTCCGCGGGGGTCGGCGGGGTCGGCCTGGGCACCCGCTCCGCCCGCGCCGCCGCCGCGCTTTGTCCGCTGGGCACCCCGCTTCTGGGAGGGGCGGGCAGACATGGAGGCGGCCGCCGCCCCCTCGTAGGCCCCGGTGCGCCGCGGCCTCCCTGCCGCTCCCCGCCGGGCTGGTCCCGAACGATGGCCCTGAGGCGGGGATGGGATTGGGCCGGGGCGGCGGGAGCTCTGCGGGCGGAGGGCGGGAGGTGGAGGGAGGCCGGGGCGGCTCGGCCGGGCCTCGGCGCCGGCCGCCCCGGTAGCCTCCGGCCTCTTTGTCTGGGCGGCCTGACGGCCCCGCCGGGCTCGTCGGAGTGGGGAAAGGGCTGCGGGGACGGCCGGCCCCGGGCGCGCTGTGCTGCGGGGCCGGGCGGAGCTCGAGGCGCAGCGGCAGTGGCCGGCTCGGACAGGGTTAACGGGAGAGCCCAGCTCGTCCCGCGCGGAGCCACCGCGGCGACTGCCTCCGTCGGGGGGACTCGAGTTCCTACGGGGACAAAGCCAGCCGCTCTGGATGCTCGGGACTTTGGCTCTTGGGACCTGGCCGGCGGAATCTGCGGGTGCGCGGCTTCGGGAAAGAAGTTACAATTTTGCCAGGTCATTTGGGCCTGGGCACAGTTAATCAGTGTGTATTGAGTGTGTTTCTTTGACGCTGTCCTGCCGTGTTGAATCAGCGTGCTAAGCCTCAGGAGTGCATCGTGAAAACTGAAACCAAAGAATGATATAGGCCTGCTTTGTGTGTGTGTTCCCACTTCAAGCCTGTTTTCAGTACACGTACTCTTGCCTTAAACCCGATTGGACTGTGGCGAGCAGACATGTTCAAAGGAGTGGGTAGAGATACTTCTAAAGGGGGCTTGGTAATGTGGAAATATTTTAAGTGCTGTCTTCGGACACTGGTTTATTGTCTCGATTCAGGCAAGTTACTTCCTGAAGTACAAATTTTATGTGAAAAATGTTTTGATGTGGTCAGTAAATGATACGTGCAATTTGCCTTCCAAGAGTTAAAGATGCACTGTAGTTTATTGTGCACAAGTTAGTGACCAGAAATTCTTTTTGTAGATCGTTTGCTTTAAGTCACGCATAGGCCCTCCCAGCTTGGTTTAAATTTCTTATTTCTGACATAACTATCAGCCTTGACACTTCCACCTTTAGGCTCAGACTATGAGTTTAAGGAAACTAAAGACGGTTTTGTATTTTTTTCTTAACTTTTCTTTATTTTTCCCCAAAATAACACAAAAAACCCATTACATATTAGCTTAAGTGAAATATTAGGCAAGAGTGACTTTTTTTTTGCGTTTTTGCTTGTCTTTTAAATGGTTTAATAGGCAGCTATATTTTTGTTTATTTCTGCATTCGATCTGTTGTGGTATCATACCATGTGATCTCTGGAAAACACTGTATGCTCAACGCCTTTATTGTTTTTAATTTTTCCTTTTAAATTGAGAAATGTGTCGTTTTTGTCCTCTCACCATACAAGTCAAGTAAGGATTTTAGGCAAGACACATTCCGAGAACGTGGGTAAGATTGATTCCTATACCTTTTTCTCGGGTTCTTTTTTTCAGCTTGGGATTTAGATGCATAAACAGTATCACGAATAAGGATTGCATAAGCTTCCTATGATCCTGGAGACTCGAACATTTTTAAATATTTTAAATGATTTAACATTTAATGCCACAAGTTATTTTTAATGATGTATACTTTGTGAATTCCGTATTAGATGTGCTTGTGAAAGAAAACGTGTAAATGTAGTTTTCTAAGATAGTAAACTTTCAAAGCACTATAGGAGCTCTGGATTTGAAAGGAGTCCTGCAGTGAAACATTTGGTAAAACAATACATTTGTAATGCATATACGAACCCTTGAGGTTAACTCTCCTAACTTAGAGTTGGAGTTCTCTGTCTCTGAATCAATCTGGGTTTTCTAGATTGGAGACAATTACATTGTAAATGTGAAAATTTAAGGCCATACTTTGGCTTATTGGTTTTGAAATGAAGCTAAATTAATTTCCAGTTGTTTCTGTGAACTCTGGTCTGATTCTGTCTAGTTTTCTACTGTTCCATCAACAGGAAGCATCTGGTCAGTCGTCATGTAATTGTTACAAATGCCAGGTGTATTTGATGTTTGCCTCACAAAAATAAAGATCAGGTTGGATCTTGGTTAATTTCACTGGATTTTTGTTTGTCTTTTGACCCCTCCTTTTCCCTCTCAGAGATGTATTTATAAATAGGCCTCATCTCCTGTAGAATGACTACTTTTTTTGCCTTTGATACTTAGTAAGTTAGAGATAGTAACAGGTAAGGTAATCAAGTTGTAAGGAATTCAGAAGTCATGACATGAAATTTGGAATCATGAATTCATTTAAAAAGTGCAGTGTCCCTTTGCAAGTAGCCTGAATGTGGATGAACTCACGTAGACTCCATCTCTTTGCAAACATTAAAAAACAAACTTAGTTTTCTAACGAGTGTCATTTCTTCCGCCCCACAGCTTTCCAGCTAGTAATCATGTTTCTGTAGCACTGATGTGTCTATCTTGGGACAGCTGTGATTAGTATTATACTTTCCTGAAGATGTTTGTTTCATCATACTCTGTAGAAGGTCAATCTGTTACTATTAGCATCAGGGCCTGTGTGTTTCCTCACAGTGTTGTCAACAGTGCTTTGCACAGCGAAGATGCTTTGGTGCAATCAGCTGTCAGTTCAGTTGTGGGCTAATGCACTTTTGTATGGGCTAAGTATTTCCATGACATGTGTGGAGGCTGAAGCATGAAGTGATTTCTCCATTAAAAGTAAATTCATATGCAGGGCCATAAATCTATTTAGAAATGGAAATCTAAAACTCTTTGGTTCTCTTCCCTTTAGTGGGAATAATTGTAAAGATTGGCAGTTTTGGCCCAAGATGCTAATGCACAGAGAATGTGTAAAAGACTTGATCGTTTTAACTGATTATACATTTAATATGAATCTACACTGTGGTATAATTTTTTAAAAAGTAAATGTCATTTTGAAGTTGGTAGAACATACAGAAAGAGCAAGGTGTTAGCTCCACTTGCTTTGTACTGGTTGTATTCTACCTGGGGTATTGTCAGCTTTTTAGATAGCACTATCACGTTATTGGTGGGACCGTTTACCAATCGGTAACTTTATCAATTCGCAAAATATCAGAATCGTCTGGAGGGCAAAAACACAGAGGCCCAAGTTTAAGTAGGGTAGGATCTGAACCACTATTTCCCCAGGTGATAGACAAGTTTAAAAACCATTGAACATAGGGCATATCCAGACTACCTTAATCATGGGGGAAATGGAAAGGAGGAAATGTTGAAAAATGTGATGTTTGGCCCAAAGAAGAGAAGCTCATCTAAGAAGTGATAGCCGTCTTTAAATATTTGGAAATCAGTCACACACAGATCAGGTTTGATCTAACTAGAGGGAACTCCCATCAATGGGTAGAAATTAAAGGAGGCCTATTTCAACATTCTTTTAAGAAAAATTTCTCCAAACAGTAAAATGTGGGTGGTTTGGGTGGTACATGGCTCTTACAGTGTTCAACTTAAGGATTCTAGGGTAGAGGAACTGATGTGCTGAATGAGTATTTGGGCCAGGTGTCCTTCTTAATTTCCCTACAGACTTAGAGATTTTTTGAAATATGTCCAGGTTTGCAGATACGAAAGCAGGAGATCAAGAGCTAGTTGAGTGAAAAGCTGGTTAGCTTAATTGGATCATAGTGTTCACCTTGGATAAAGAGAAATGAGTATTAAGTGAGAGAGCTATTTGATGAGGTCAGATGAATAGTGTCTGACATAGTTGATAGCTCAGTAAATGTTAGCAATTATTAGTATAGAATCATAGCCCACTAAAACCCTTGGGGGTCTAGTAAGTTTTAGAATTAAGAATTTTTTGGACCTAGGCAAGGTAATAATGTTTGTAACCTTTCAACAGAGGCCAGTATGGTATCCCTTTTTTACCCTCATTTTTTAAAATTAAGGTATTATTGATATACACTCTTATTAATGTTTCACATGAAAAACAATGTGGTTCCTACATTCACCCATATTATGAAGTTGCAACCCATACTCCACTGCAGTCACTGTCCATCAGTGTAGTAAGATGCCACAGATTCACTATTTGCATTCTCTGTGCTACAGTGTCTTCTTTGTGACTCCCCACACCTTGTGTATGTACTAAATATAATACCTCTCAATCCCCTTTGCCCTCCCACACCCCTCCCCTTTGATAACCGATGGCCCCTTCTTGGAGTCTCTGAGTCTGCTGCTGTTCTGTTCCTTCAGTTTTGCTTTGTTATACTCCACAAATGAGGGAAATCATTTGGCACTTGTCTTTCTCCACCTGGCTTATCTCACTGAGCATAATATCCTTCAGCTCCATCCATATTGTTGCAAATAGTAAGATTTGTTTCTTATAGTTGAATAGTATTCCATTGTGTATATGTACCACATCTTTATCCATTCATCTACTGATGGACACTTAGGTGGCTTCTATATCTTGGCTATTGTAAATAGTGCTGTGATAAGCATAGGGATGCATATGTCTTTTTGAATCTGAGAACTTGTATTCTTTGGGTAAATTCCTAGGAGTGGGATTCCCGGGTCAAATGGTATTTCTATTTTTAGTGTTTTGAGGAAGCTTCATATTGCTCTCCACAATGGTTGAACTAGCTTACCATTCCCACCAGCAGTGTAGGAGGGTTCCCCTTTCTCTGCATCCTCGCCAGCATTTGTTGTTCTTAGTCTTTTCTATGCTGGCCATCCTAAATGATGTGAGGTGGTATCTCATTGTGGTTTTAATTTGCA